GTTATTCGGTGTTACAGGGAACTGTGCCGCCTGCAGTAAGCTCATACCTGCTTTTGAGATGGTGATGAGAGCAAAGGACAATGTTTATCATCTGGACTGTTTTGCATGTCAACTTTGTAATCAGAGGTAAGAGAATTTCTTGGGTCTGTTCCATAAACTAAGTGCTAATTCGGCACCAGTACGGGCATACATTCAAGTGAAGAGGAAATATCTACCAGTAATGGAAACCCAAGATTGAGAGTAAGACCTGGATACTTTTCCTGGGGCTGATACAGAACATCTTTCATGACCTTGGTCAGAAAACCTTTTGTGCCTCAAATCCCGCATCAATAAAAAAGACTAATGTTACTTTCTCTCCTTCAAAAGGCTGTCTGTCAAGTTTAACTAATTAGTATTTATAAAGGACTTTGAGATCCTTTTCTGCAGAAGAGCATAGCAGTACCCTTTCTCATTATTACATTATTTTTACTTTAATTCTTCATTTTTATCACATATATTTCTTTTAAAGTACATTTTGTTTCTTCCTGTTGCCAGAACTGTAATCATTTAAATTTAAAAGATGTTGTTCCCACCATTTTCTCTGTAGCAGCATTGAACTTCCTATGCCATGTTTTTATTTCCATATCCTAACTGCAGTTTATAACAATCCCAAGGATCCAAATGTGTCACTTTGTTCTGAAGCATCACCCATATGGTACAGTTTCAGAACGAATGTCAAAAATGGTAAAATTGTAGCAACTGAATTTTTCAGAGGCAAATACAGGCGAACTTACAGCAACTACATTCAGAGTGGTGGCCAAATCCTGTCAGAGGTTTCACCGAGAGCTCTATTTCTGCGGCTTTGCTGGTAACTTCTGTGAGGTCTAGGAAATGCGAGAACCAATTATGTCCACTCCTTAATGTACCTATTATGTTTTTTCAGTTATTACATGATCCTATTTAGAGTTTTATAGCGTTCTTTTTTTTTTTCCCCCGGTTTCAGGTGGGAAGAAACAGGAGATGCACATTTCTAGGGAAGTAACAAAAAATTAGGAAAATAATAGTCTAACACACTGAAGTTAGATACAGCTCTAAATAAGCTTTGCTAACTCACCTTGTCCTACAGTGTATTATTTTGTAACACTGTAGTCATTTAAAAATCTAACCTCCCTAAAGAACCATAAAATGTACAGCTGCTAATAAGTGTAGCACACTACAATTACGCTCTTTAAAAAAAGCCAAATTGACCTTTTTCATCATGTTGCATGGGAAATTAAAATACCAGGCAAGCAATAACCACTGCTTAAACTATATAATAATGCAAAGTAATTATAGGTTCTAATGCTATTTAAAGTCCTATATCAATTTTGTCTTGCCACAGAACTAAGAGGCTGTATTCTGAGTAAGGCAGGCAGAGCCTCTGGTAGTACCCACTTAAGTAAGACACACACACACTCTTAGGTTTCGTTTCTTAAACCCTTCACATCCCTGTTTTTTTCAAACGATGATTCCAGTATCATTATTAAAGTGCCTAATATATTTCCGTTGTTCGCTTCATTTATTACATGCCATAATGGGGCTGCATATCTTTAGTGTTGGTTATGCACAATTAGCACTTAGTTATTGTCTTGTCACTTCAGCCCATACAAGACAAACTTCTTTAATGTAAGAAGTCAGCTAATCTTCATCAGTCAAGCAAAGCAGACAATGTTTGTTACCCTGAGTGCAAAAGATTTTCATCATAGTTAGCACTCTTGGATCTCAGCAAGTGAACTTTCTTTTTCTTCCCCCTAAAAGTGAAGCTGTTGTGATTATTTTTAATATTCCTCTTTTACCATGACAAGCGTGAACTAATGTACAATTTCACTTTGCAGCTAATATACATAATACTATGCCCTAGGGCCACTGATCCCCCTGGAAAACTGCTGTTAGGTTCTTCTGAAACAGAGCTTTCCTGGGATGTTTAATAACTCTTAACCTTGTCATTCCTGAGCCTTCAATCTAGTCCCTTATTTGATTTTTACTTTGCATGTAGTTTGGCCAAAGGGTTGCTGAAATAGTCTTACAGCAGTCTTAGGCTAGGAACAAAAGAATTGATTTACCTGAAATACTGTCTAGTTCATCTACTCAAAACAGGGAACAGTTCCAGAAGTTTCAGAGAATTTCAGAAATTCTCAAAAGTGGCCCTAATCCTGATTATATTGCAATAGCTCTCATGGAGCCTAATAAAACAGACTACCTGTAGGGTACCTTTCTTCCTCACAATTTGGGGCTAGTGGCACTCTGAAGAATTAATTTTGTGGCTTTTTATAATAAATCCTGTTTCATGGATGCTCCACCTTAGCTCTTCTGTGGTTCCTTGGCAAAGTATCCCACTGACTACATTCTCTCATTAATAAATAGCTTTAAATCTTTTCTTTTTCATTACTTGTATAGCAATAAAAAATAAAAATGCTAGACACCTGACCCATCACCAGGTTTGGAGTGGTTTTATATCTGCTATAAAACTGCTTTTTCTTTTCTTTGAAACTGAATAATCTTGTCAGTCACCATGCCATTAATAATTTCTGTTGCCCTTCTCAGGATCTTTTTTTCTTCCTCTAGTTAAGCTAATCAAAACCAAACAGCAGATTCCGAGTGAGGATGAGTTTATAAGATAGCAGTTTAATTTTCTTTCTTTATTCCACGCTGCCCCTTTGTATGCAAAATAATGTTCTTGAGCTTTTTTAGATCTGCTCTTCCCTTTCACACCAGCCACTATCCCTAATGTGTAACTTATTGATTGAAGAGAATATTTTTATTTACAAACACATCAGAGATATCAAAAAATCACCAACAGAGGTAGCAAGGCCCACCAGCTATTGCAAGACGTGTGTGTTGTCCTTATTCCCCACCTTCACATTCTCTTCCCCCATTAAATTTTAAATCCTTTGGGTTATTCTTTATACTGATAGAAGTACAACATAGCTGGAGTACTACCAGAGAGTATATAGTGCTCTCTGTTCAGTTCCATATTTCAGATTTTCAGTTACCATTGAGGCTTCTTCCTAACAGAAGGAACGCTCATGAGTAGACTGAAATGTTTCTTCAGTTTGCATTACTTTGTCTTCCCCAACACTAAATTTCTCCTCATGTTTTGTGCCTGCTTGTGCCTTCCAATGATTTCTGCCTTCCAAGCTAGCGAATAATTATATTAACTCGCCTCACACCAATCCTTGGGGCAGCCCGTTTCTCAGGCTTGCTATTGCATGGCCCTCATATTCCTGCCTTTTAAATAGTCGATCCTGTCCCAGGTGAGAGGGGACTCCCCATTTTTGCCTAGCGCTTTTTGTGAAAGATTCGGTGATTTTTCTGCTTTTATGTACAACTTCACTGTTTGCTTTATTATTTTTGAGTATCTATAAATCACCATCCAGCTTAAGCCTCTGTGGATGGCTGTTAGACCCCCTTGATTTCAGGGGACTTTTCCGGGCCATAAACTCCATCTCTGAACTAACTCATAATGTGCCTGTCCCCTTTTATTGTCCTCCTGAAGGCTACATTTTCAGAGTGGGAAGAAAAACACGTCTCACATACTGTATTCTAGGAGGACAGACTGGAGACAGGCCTGTAGACATAGACAGGACTGTAAGGGATCTCCTGAGCCACAAAGCCTAGACCCCTGATGTCAAATAGGCACTGTCTTGTATTTTCCTTTTCATAAATATATTCAGCTCTAGGATCTAATTGCTCCATACATCTAGTTTTTGACATACTTTCCCCATTTTTCCTTTATAGTGATGCTTAAAGCTGTGGGGATTTTGTGAATATTAAGCTCTGCTACTAGCCTAAAGTTTTTAGCATCCCCTTATCTTTCATGTCTCTGTCCATGTTATTCTTAATTTGAAGTTTTTCCATCTCCTAAATACCCGTAGAGCTTAGTGACAGTCATCTTAATGGTGCAAGTACTCCCCTTTCTTCCCTGTAAACATACTAAACTTCTCAGAAGCACTTCACCTCACATTGGCAGTAGCCTCAATATAGTTAATTTCTGCAGAAAATTTAAAGGAAAAAAACCTGGAAACCACTGGAAAAATAAACTTGTAAACAGACATTGCCTTTCACACTTTGTCAGATTGCATTTGTGTGACTGGCAAAATGGAGTGGAAAATCTTGCGAGTGGGCTCAGCTGTATCTGTGCTTGACACTTTTGACTACAGCAATGATGTCAGTCTGCCTTCGGCTTTCCCACTTTCCGGAGTTTCCATGTCTTCCTTTCACTGCCTGTCGGCTGCTTTAGCAGCCTGTCCCGTACTTCTGCAATATTTTCTCTCTGCCATTTGAAGTCAACTCAGGGTATGGTTTAAAACCCCCATCTGCTATCGCTGAGGGGTGTTTAAATCAAATGTTCTATCCTTCTATCCAAAAAAGCCTTTATTTTAATGGGAACTGGCCTGAAAATGGTTACACACTCATTCCAATAGCTGTCCTGATGTAGCTGTAAACACTTACCTCCAGTATAAACTGTAAAATGCCCACACAGTGCTGCCTTTGTTCTCTGTCAAGGGAGGGGAGGTAATGCAATGCCAGGGACACCCTTATTTCAAACACCCACATCAGATTTTTGCATGAGTGGTCATTCTATAAATTGCAAAGACCTGAATACTGCTGATTTCCATTGAGTGTCTCGAAATGTAGAATAAAAATTAACACATTCTCCACACCTGCTTTTGAAAAAAATAGTAAATGAAAAGCACACCGAGTTGAGGTTTGTCGTTGTAAGTTGAACCAGGGTTCTGTGTGTATATATGCTACATTGTACTAGTAAAAATGCACAAACCCAGGCACAGCTCCCACATTCCACTCTTTGACAATAAATGGACATTTTGACAGAACCCTAGAGTTAGTAAACCATAGGTGTGGACTGATGAACTGTGATGTAAAAGCATGTCTTTGTTCTCTTGGTGATGCATATGGATTAAGATTAATTTGAGTTATACTGGAAACTCAAAGGAGCTTTAGAAAAAAGAAGAAAGAGGGAAAAGCAGAGGACAAGTTACATCACTGAGTGCACAAAGCAGAGGGGAAGGGTGTGAGTGTAAGTCTGAGCTTGCTTCATCCTAGAGGAAATCAATTAAATGCTTCCAGATTTTGTTTCTTTCTACAACAACAAAGACCTGACATTACCAGAGGAGGCACTTCACACACAGCCATCTTTATTCACAGCAATATTTCTCTCACTTTCTTAAGAAGTCTTTGGTACCTTGACACACATCCTGTACATCAGAAAAGATGACAGACAGCAGTGAGATCTCCTTAAATATCTGTTCTGAACAATGAAACAGCTATTTCTCAAAATGTAAGTTTTATACTTCTTGTGATTAGTCTAGGCACACCTTCCCCTTCCAAACAAGGTGATAACAGAGGTCATTTTGTAATATAAATGGCCTTCCTTTTGCCATTGTAAAATATGACAGGAGTTCTAGGATGTAGGTTAATTATAATGGTCATTCTACTAATGTCACAGTCGTGTCAAAAGTAGTATTATCAATTTATGGCAGTAAGTCCAATCTGGCATGTTAATGCAGCCTATTGTATATTTTTTCTTGTTCATTTTGCCTGCCTATTAAATAAATTGGGTGAGGGTTTTAGGGAAGGCTGAAGACTACCATCTGCCTGCTAGAAGAGTAATAGTCTTGCCTCATTATATACTCCTAACGGAGTGGCGTCTTAATATGCTCCTTGACTCCATGTGATATACGTGCCCAGATTGCGCCCTGCTTTACATCCTGTGCCAATTCCATAAAAAAAACCAACACTTGCCAGAGGTGGAAGGCTAGGCTTGAATTTACCCTTCCACTTTAAAGCTGAGCCAGTTTTACATTTGGTGTGCAAAACCAATCTGAAGTAGTTGCAAGATTTAGCTCTTTGATTTCAGAAGAGACTAAATCTGCTTTTGAGAGTCAAATAAGGTTGAAGGTGTGGATGGACAGAATTTGTCACACTTCATCCATCTATTCGCCTTGTCTCATTGTACTTGGGAGCTAGCATGCCATTTTTATATGTTCTTCCCCTGGTGCTTACCTCTTTGCCACCTAGTGAGTGCATAATTCACACATTTAATACCCGGGGCACATGCAAGCCTCACCGTCAGTCTTTGCCAATGTGTTTCAGCCACTGAACTTGCACAATATGAAAACAGTTGTAAAATTTGGACCATACGTATCTCGAGTAACAGGTTTGCCCCAAGGCTCAGAGGATCACCCCCAGCGTGCAAACGCAGCCCCAGATGAACCCAGAGGGTGTCTTACCATGCAGACAGACCCCCCACCCCACAGGTTATCACACAGCCAAGCGTGTCTAGACAGGCCACTGGCAGCCTCTCCACAAGACAGCTGTACACTTGGAAGGTAAATGATTTGTGGAACTGTGTATGTTTAAACCCACTCATGCGTAAAGCTGTCAAATGCCATGTAGACATAGGTAGAGCATTTCTGGCTCGACATATTAACATAGCAAAAGCAAAAGGCATTGACACTTTTTATTGGGAAAGGCATCCTGACTCCCTCGTGTAGCTGGTGCGGTTTAATTCCAATCGTGGCACTTCTCTGAGGGCTGAGAAACAAAATCCTTCAGCCAGGGTCTTGATGCAAGCAACATTGGAAGAAGTCACATGTGAAAGTATTGCTGTGCAAGTGAATTGCACTTCAGCAGCGTATTTTTCATTTACTAAATATTTAAAACAAATTAGTCCGCTAAGCTCTGTATTACGCTGGAACACAAAGGAATAAACAGCTGAATAACATTCACAGTTTGGAGTTAGTGCTTTCTGCTGGGCGAACAGAGGTGGTCGTGTCTCCCACCAGTGCCTGACCCGCAAGGAGGGATGCCCTGCTGCACAGTAACCCTCTGATGTGGTGGGCACTGCTGGCCAGACATCCCCTGCTCAGTCCCCATCAGTAATCCTTGGGCTAACTGCAACGGAGTGACTGATTTGTCACAATACCTAACTTCCCCTGCTTTAGTCCGCAGTAATCCGTATGTTCCTTTAAGAGAAACTACGAAGGACTATTTATTTGTTTTCTTTTTTTTCTTTTTTAAATGTGACTTCTTTGGGCAAAGCACTTGTACCTATTAGCACTAGTTAAGACTCCTTTACCTAATCTGGTAAGATGCACAAAAGAATTTTTATCAATGGACAGAAATACAAAGGATGGAAACTAGAGAAACTGCCAAAGAACTTGTTTGTTTCAGGAATTCTGCATTTCAACACACCTATGCAAAACACTTTTCTGTTGTTAGTAGCCTAATATACCAGGATTGGGGTGGGAAGGATGGCAGGAACCTGTAAATTCTACAGAAGAGTCTTGATTATAAATAACTTAAAGATTTCAGGATCATTCCTTAATCTCTATTTTCAATCATCATCAGCAACAGGCAGTAATCCTACACAAAAAAAGTCCACAAATAAACAAAACAATTTTCCTTTAAGAGCAGAGCTAATTCTTTCCAATCCACTTTTTTATTACACTATTTTCCCTCTATCTATTTAGCTAGCATAAGGATAAATTTCCAAAGCTACCCAGTTGGAAAATAAATGGGTTCACTGTTTGTCTAGCATTCCAATCTTCACAAATGTAAATCAGTCCAACTGCTACTCATTTAAACCTCCAACTTCACAAAACATTAAAGGACTGCTTTCAATACACAATTTAATCTGTGACAATTCACCAAGATTTCTGCCTGAACATCATTAGGAATTGACTATCTGATAAAGAGAGACCACTATCAGAGGTCAGGCGGGTCAACCGGTGTCATTTATGTAGTTTTACTGGGTCAGCTACAGCAGGCACCACCATTCCAAGGTTAAATTGTTACAATTAAATACATATACAGCTATTCCCATAGCTACTCTGTTGTTAAATCTACCGTAAACACCACAAGCATTTATATCTGACCCTAATTGTGTCCAAGATGTCACCATTTGGAAATTATACAAAAAAGGACATTATAATCTGTTACACATTAAACAATACTTTATGTAGTGAGATCCATAATTAGCTGGGAGAAACTGGTTTCATTTATTCACGTCAGTGTTAAGGGGTTCATTTAGGTTACTTTCTTTCATTTTAATTGGAAGAGTGTGAGCAGTGCCTCCCAATGTATTTTATATGGAGAGTTCACTATAAACAAAGGCACATAACCCTTGCCAAGGCAGTCACTAGGGAAACTCTTTCTCTGTGCGTTGGCCCTATTCACTTGCTCCCTAAGTACCTTCAAGAAGATTGGCTTTGTGGGGGGGGCGGCGGGAGGAAGGGGTTGAGGGGGGTGTCAGTGAAGAGCCTTCTTACATTCACGCGTACTGCATAGCTGGGAAATCCTACTTCACTCGAAGTTTGAAGCCAGCCAGCCAAGCAGGAGCGTTAACGTTACGTGATTTTCCTGCTCATCAGAGAAAATCAGATGAAATATCTCGGTAGCGTTTTGTAGCAATCAGATCATTCTGATGCACGTAATAGTATAACAAGGTAGGTATACTGATACCACGAGAGAGAATTTAGCTGAGTAACTAAGTTTATAATCAACTCCTACAGGGGGGAAAAAAAAAAGGTTTCTCTGCATACCTGCCTGCGTGTCTCTAGTTTGCACCACAAAGTATGTAAAGAAGTCATGTGTAGGCTAGAAACGGTTCTCAGAACCACCGGTTTACATCATTTCTAGTAAAAATATCCAACTGGAATACAACAAGAAATTCTTAACGGTACGCCTGCACAAGACAAATGTAACATATCTCAGCTGAGCTTCCTACTGCATACGATCACTGTGTTTTCCTTCTGATTTGCCTGAAAGCAGGGCATTTACTTTTCACTCAACTCAGTAGCCTGGGATATTTATTCTGTTTTATCTGTGTGCTAGTGACATGATCCAAGACTCCCACAGACTTCAGTGGGCTTTGAATGAAGTCTTTGGCTGGGGAAGCAAAAGCGCGTGAACACACCAGATTTTGTTGAAAGCACAGGATTAATTCTGATACCGGAGCAATTTCTCTGCGGGGCTTTCACATGCGTGCACACGCGCCCGGGTGCGCTGCGACCGACGGCAGAGGTGCGAGCCGTGTTGTCGGTACAACAAAATCGCGAACAGTTGTTGTACAGTCCTTACGTGTAAGATCATATCACAATATCACATCATTCGTCCTGAACCTACCTTTTTTTTTCCTTTATTATTGTAATTTCAGATTTTGTGTTGGAGACAAATTTTTCCTGAAGAACAACATGATTCTGTGCCAGACGGACTATGAGGAGGGTTTAATGAAAGAAGGTTATGCACCCCAGGTTCGCTGATCTGATGCCACATCATTAAGAATACAAAGCACTATGTTCTTTTATCTTTTTTGCTCAACATGTATATAAGAGATGACACAGGAACCTACTGAATAGCATAGATATAGGGAGACAGAATGGTTGCGTGAAATAAAAGGCGGACTGCATCTGTATGTAGTGAAAATTTCTCCAGTTCAGAGTTGAATGTTAATTAAAAAAGGTACTGTACATACAGCTGGATTCTTTTTGCTTGCTCTTGGGGTTTTTGGTTTGTTTGGTTTTTTGTTTCTTTTTGTGTCATTTGGCATGAGATGTTTATTTTGGACTATTGTATATAATGTATTGTAATATTTGAAGCACAAATGTAATACAGTTTTATTGTGTTACCATTTGTGTTCCTGTTTGCTTCTTTGTATTGTTGCATTTAGTACAATCAGTGTCTAAACTTACTGTATATTTATGCTTTCTGTATCTACCAGCTATTTTAAATGAGCTGTATCTTTCTAGTAAAAAGAATTAAAGAGCAAATCCCAACCATTATGCTACACTTAGAGCTTAAGAATACTGTTTACATTAAAACTATTTAGAAAACTGATAACTCTAGCAGCACCTGCTGCTAATGATGCTATGGTTAAGGGTCTATCAGCACTTCTGTTATAAGCCTCTATTTTTCAGGGGTTAAGCATCTGCTGTTTAATTGCATAGATTTTCCTCAAAGAGCACTTTTATTTTACTACAAAATTTTGAAAAACAAATCTGACCGGTTTGGGATGTATTATAAGAGGTGCAAAAGTTAATGATTTTGGGTGCTGCTTTTGTGCCCCTTAGGCATTCAAAATGCCTGGATTTGATTTTTAATTTAGCTGGAAATTAAGCCCTAATGCAAACCAGTGCCTCTGGGTATCTTGTTTTTATATATATAT